CGCACCGGCGTCTTCCGCGCCGGGTTCGTCGATCCCGTGGCGCCGCAGGCTCCAGATGAACATCGACGGCTCGAGCACGCAGTCGCCGAGCACGCGCCGCGCGAGGTCCCAGCTCCGCGCGACGCCGCGCCAGGGCGCGTCGCAGAGCAGCGCGAAGACCGGCGGCCAGCCGGCCGCTTCGACGGCTCGGACGACGTCCGCGCAGGCGCGCCAGAGGGCGGAGTCGGACGCGTCGCGCGCGGCGAAGTAGCCGTCGCCGCCGCCGAGCGCCGCCCGGGCGGCGGCAACGTCGAAGTCCGCGGCGGGCGCGGGCCGCGCCGACGGCGCCTCGAAGGCCCGCCAGTACGAGGCCTCGGCGAGCGCGTCGGCCGCGGCGTCGCCGTTCGCGCAGCGCTGCAGGAGTGTGGACGCGGTCGTCGTCGCCGGCGGCGGCGGCGTCGCGTCGGCGTCGGCGTCGAACATGGACGACGCGACGAGGCCGCCGAGGAAGCTGAACGACTTGGCATTGAGGTCCTCGTCCTCGACCGGTTTCGGCGCTGGTTTTGGCGCTGGTTTGGGCTTCTGCGGTACGTCCAAGGCGCCGAATTTGCGCGTCTGCACGAGCACCAATGGCGCCATGACGCGGTCACCAGGGTTGCGTTCAAAGCTTGTAAATCTCAGTCTATGAATCTATTTATGGCAGACGCAACTCGCAGCGCATACGATCACCAGGGCATGCTAAATGGCGCTCATCACTGGTTGCGAGTTGCAGTGGATACCCCGTCGCTTGAACTATTGCAAGCCAAGACAAACTTTGAAGAAATCCTAGCTTCTAGAGGGCTAGAGACGGTGTCTCCGCTGGAGTATTCAGCGGCCGATGATGGAATCTCCACCTTAGAGGGGCCCGCGCTCCTCGAATATGCAGCGACGTGCAACGATCCCAGTGGCTTTGAGGTCCGCAAACATGTGGGTGAGGCACATGAAAAGACGCGACATCCGGACGATTGCGAGGCGACGCAAACGGGCAGCCTCAGGGGGTGGAATGAGGCGCGGCAGCTTCCCCCGACCCGATTTTCGGTCCCCTTCGAGTCACAGAGCGTCGGGAATCGTTCGTCATGGGAGCGACCAGATGCCCTCGCGGCAGCTCTTCGACTCGAGCCGATTTGATCGAGATCACCTCACCGGCTCCGAGAGGCGCGCGGCGCCGCGGGCGACACGGTGCTCACCGCGCAATGCACGAGGCCGTATGTGCGACCAAGCCCGGACAGCCCCCTCGGGAGGGACATTCCAGGGGGTGTTTCTTCGAAGTTGGTCGCACATACGGGACCTCAGCACTAATGCGAGCCCCTCGTCGGTCGCCCCCCACCGATAACCGCCGTTCTCGTCGTCCACGGGCTGCCCCGACGCGAACTAAGTTGCTCCCCATCGACCGATGGTCTTTCCCGAGCGACTCGCAGCCGGGCCCAAGGCGCGACAT